GAGAGTCGAGAGGGGAGCTGAAGGCACGGTCAAAGAGAAAGGTTTTGAGACCGGCCTTGAAGGAGGAAAGGGAGGAGGCGGCGAAGGCACTGGGGGATAGAGTTCCAGAGCTTCCTCTTCATTGCCAATATGTCACCCCAATGCTTCTTGAACTGGCAGACCTGTGATCCAAATGGGTCATGCCATCTTATTTATTCAATCTAGAACAGAGTTAAATGCACAGAATGTTAAACTGCAGATTATAGGATGCTGCACACAGAGCAAGCCTTAACTCGTTCATCAGTTTAGGTTTTCCTCACTCATGAAATTCAGTAATCTTTTCTCTCATACGAAAGTACAAAACTGTTATGTGTACAATATTAGACTTGTTTCTTATCTTGGTACCTGTGAAGTTATGCATCAAAACTGCTGGTCAAAGCTGCAAAACATGCTCGTTAAACAAAGGTTCTTCTTCCACGGAGCTTTTGTATTGCTCCTGCCTACCTCTGTCATTGTCCTTTAGAAATGCTGATTAGATATGTACAACAACCGAAGCCTTCCTTGTAGTTAAGGCATTTCAAATTTCAGGTAATCCTTGAAGCTTTTAGGGCTGGATTATAGAATTAAAATGGTTGTGTTGTACCTTTAATACTTTGAATGTTGCCATTGCGATTGTGGTTTCTATGTTCTTGGCTGCTAGGCAGAGTAAATAGTGCTTATAATTGCTGTTGAAGTATATAACCAGTGCTTAACTGCCTCTGAACTAACATTCATTGTGTTTTACAGTCAAATGTTCAAAAGGTCACTGCATGGCTAGGTCTTCTGAATGTTTTACACTGTTGTGAGCACAGAAATAATGCTTCCTGCTGTAGCATTTTGTGGAACACGATTAACAGAAGCAGAGTGAACTTACACTTGCAATAGAGCTTGGAGTCTGAAAGGGCACAGTTTACACCTGATATTGGAATCCTGCAAGTGCATGCGAAGAACTCTAAAATTGGGTGTGCTTTTTAATATTAAAAAGCTAGTTGTGTGATGAGGAAATCATGTCACTGGCTTTTTAAACATAAAAATTTGGTCCCTTGGCAGTTCTTTTTTCATCCATGGATTGCCAAAAAAAGGAACCGCTTGGGAGTGCACAGATGTCAATCAAGATTTCAGAGCCTCTGTTTCATGTTCGTCTTGGCAGTGAAGCTCCATTGCAGTTCACTTGTAGTATAGTATAGCTTAACCCCAATTTGTATCGCGGATCAAATGATTTTTACATTATATCCTGTCTAAATACTTTTGAGATGTCCTCCAATACAAAAGGTATTATATCAAATATAAGGATTACCATGATATGCGTCAGATCGCTGTGAAAAGTTTACGTGAACCTTCCTTAGTGCTTCTGCTCCAGCTCTCTGGAATTTCATCCTGGAGTCCCTCTGCCTCAGGTCTTCTTCCAGCCCTATTTTTAAAGCCTGACTTAGGACTGTGTTTCTGATAATCTCTCACCCCCTCCGAGGGCTGCCACGCAGTTTTGTAAAGCTTTTTGAGATGTCATTGCAATATGAAAACCACTATATAAATGTAAAATTCTTGGTGATAATTGTTGTTAATGGAATTTACAGCAGTAAATGAACTTCTGTTAAATGAATGTCTCTGCCCACAAGTCCATGAAACCGGTTTCAAAGGTGATTACTGATTGACTCCTGAGTTTATTATATATTCTAAAGGTACATTAATGCAAGAACTGCATGCTTATGCTCATATGTATACATATGTAAGCTCTCTTTTTGAGGAATCAAACTTGTGCTTGTCGGATGTTAAATGATTAACACTTGATTATCGGGGGCGGATGGGGAGGAGATGGATGGTAAACTGACTTCTTAAGTTGAGCAGCTCCGAGATAGTTGGCAAGCATAAAGCCAACATCCTCAATCATCTGTGGGGGCCTCAATAGTCTGCTTCCTGAATCAGGCAGGTCCTCAGTACTCCTGCTGATAACAGACCAGCCAGTGTGGCTTGCTGCTGAGACTTAGAGGGACAGATTGAAAGGGATTCTTCCCACTCTGCTTCTGTTAACTGAACAAAGCTCTAACAGGTGCTAATATGTTTGTAGCTGATAAACATGCTCGCCAGAAAGTGTTCGCGATGCATTTTTAGCTGGTTAATTCACAAATACCTCAGTGCACACTCCAGACTTGGGGTTTGATACGCTCGATACGGTCGACCACGCTATCCTACTCCACCGCTTGTCCTCCCACCTCAACCTTCAAGGCACTGTCCTTGAATGGTTTAGCTCTTACCTTTCCCACCGTCTTCACTTCGTCTCAACGAATGGCTTCTCCTCCACCCCCCGTACTGTCTCATGTGGTGTCCCTCAGGGCTCTGTCCTCGGTCCCCTCCTCTTCACCCTCTATATGCTCCCCCTCGGTGACATCATCCGCAAACATGGGGTTAACTTCCACATGTATGCGGATGACACCCAACTCTACCTTTCCTCCTCTACTCTCAACTCCACGACCACCGATGTCCTGACAGCTGCCTGTCCGACATCGAGTCCTGGACGAGAGACAACTTTCTTCAGCTCAACGTGCGAAAAACCGAGGCCCTCCTGATTGGCTCACGTCAGCGCCTCCGCACCTCAGGCGCTGACACCATCAGCATCCAAGGCTGCACTCTCCACCTCTCAAAGCCAGTCAGGAACCTCGGCGTTTTGTTCGACCCTGAGCTGTCCTTTCTCCCTCACATCCGCACCACAACTGGCACCGCCTTCCATCACCTCCGGAATATCGCCAGATTACGGCACTACCTCACCCCTCACGCTGCTGAAACCCTGGTTCACGCCTTTGTCACCTCAAGGCTGGACTATGGGAACTCTCTCCTCGCCGGCCTTCCCGCCACCTCCCTCCACAAGCTGCAGGTCATTCAGAACTCTGCAGCTCGTGTACTGTCCCGCACCAGGCTTCGGGACCACATCACTCCCACCCTCGCTCGCCTCCACTGGCTCCCCATCCCCCAGAGGATTGATTTCAAGATCCTCATCCTCACCTACAAGGCCATTCACGGCCTTGCTCCCTCCTACCTCTCCAACCTACTATCCCCCTACCTACCTGCCCGTACCCTCCGTTCCTCTGGCTCCGGTCTGCTCCACGTCCCCCGCCCCAACCGCCCTACTATCGGTGGTCGGGCCTTCAGCCTCTCAGCCCCGAGGCTCTGGAACTCCATCCCCCAGTGCCTTCGCCTTGCTTCCTCCCTTTCCTCCTTCAAGGCCGGTCTCAAAACCTTTCTCTTTGACCGAGCCTTCAGCTCCCCTCTCGACTCTCTTCCTCCTCCTCGCTCCCTCCCTTCCCTCCCCTCACCCTGACCATTTCCCCCCTCCTCTCTCCCTCCCTTCCCTCCCCTCACCCTGACCATTTCCCCCCTGCTCGGGTCATGACCCAACTGTGCAGCGCCTTGGGACGTCCTCCTGACGTGAAAGGCGCTCTATAAATGGAATCTTGTTGTTGTTGTTGTTGTTGTTTAATCAATCTGTGCCTAATACTCTGTGATTAGGTAAACTGGGTGTGCCCCCCCACCCCTCCGGGACAGTGTGAATTCCATTTCAGACCAAATTTCCATGTGTAGGTGGCATACAAATGTGGTTGTTTGTCTGGTATGGATGTATTAGGCACAATGATGGGTTAATACATGTCGAACACTGGGGTGAACAAAATAAGTGAAATTGTCACCATTTTTGAATTGAGTGTGCCAAGATTGCTGATTTGATAGCCCAACAGCAAACTGTGACCTTCAAAGATAACATTTTTGTTTCTTAAATATGAAATCAGAGATTAGTCACAGTCCTAAGCAAGTTTAGCCAATAAATTCAATAACTTAATTAACTGGTATACCGTATTCATTCCAGAAAAAGGCAGTGGATTGAACAATGTTGTACTACAGGGGGGAAAAAATAACACTCAAGTCAATTTGCTTGTTTAATGAACTTAATTCAGAATTTAAAGATTTTTTTTACCGTGGCCATTAAATCCCCTTGTTGCCTGCACAAATGAAATTTAGGTTCAAATCTGCTTTTTCAATAACAATTTACGTGTATATAGATAGTTTGGGATTCATATTTGATATTGGGAGGAGGTCTCAAAAGCACATCAAACTAACTGGGAGCCTGACCTGGTGGAGATGCGGAGGGGAAGGTAACCAAAAACACAAAAGATCGAATGTTGAAAGTGAGCGAGGGATGGGCAAGGCAGAGTTCCAAGTTATTATTGAAAAATAAAATACTGTACATATATTAAACCCAGCATTATCCTAGTGGAAAACGTTTGAGTAATGTGGTTCAAAAATGTGAAATAAATGCTTGCGCATTACTAAACTCCCAGTGACACTTATTACTGAACTGGCAATCTATAATTTTGAATTGCATAATATTGATGTATATATAGTTTGGATGTAGTAGTTTGACAGATTTGATTGATTTTTATATATTTTCCCCTGTTTTGAGGCTAAATCTATCTAAACGCATTCAGCAAATGTGAGTGCAATGAATATATTAATTTAACAGCATCATTTTTATTGCTTGCTTCATTCACTGAGAGGTGATTTAATATTGGTGGAGCTTTTCATTAAGCCATAATTAAAAAATTTAAAGTAAAAATATTTACAGCGCAAATATTCTTAGCATTCATTATGGAACTGTCATTACGTTACCTGGTATCTTCTTGCAGCAGCAATTGCAATAAACTAGTGCTACTGCTTGCGTTAATGTACACAAATCTTTTTTTATATTGAGAAAAGGTTGACAGAGTTGTAGAAAGAATACTTAACAACTTTTTAAAGGGATTTAGGCAAGTATTGGACAGAAGTGAAAAAAATAAAGGAATTGGGCAAAGTGCAGGGAGTGGTACTAAATGAATAGAGAACGGCAGAGGCATGGTGAACAGAATGGCCTCCTCCTGTGTTGTATGATTTTATACTAAACATGCATTTGAGTTGGGTCAGGTCTATTCCCTGTAACTGAAGTTCTTGTTGTTTTACAGGTTCTGGTGAATCAGGCAAAAGTACCATTGTTAAACAGATGAAGTAAGTACGGCATTTTTGGGGGGTTCCATTTTCATTACTGTTAAGTATGAATGCAAAATTTACATCACAGCTGTTTAAAAAAAATTCTCTCCATAGGATTATACATGAGGATGGTTATTCAGAAGAAGAATGCAAACAGTACAAAGCTGTTGTGTATAGCAACACTATTCAGTCTATCATCGCCATTATTCGGGCCATGGGAAGATTGAAGATCGATTTTGGTGACCCAGCAAGAGCTGTAAGTAGTACGAAACTGATGTGACATTAGCGAATGTCAGCTAGACAACAGTTTAATCGTGAGTCCTAGTTTTCTTGTTAAGCTGACATGCGCAGTTTCTTAGACACCTGTGTGAGATACCGAATTATGCCTAATACATTAACATATGTAGAACTTTGTTGAATTTTGGACTTAATTCAATCCCTACAATGGAGTTTGATGTAAAGTACTCCTAACATTTTAAATTATTTTAAAACTGGGAATACATTGTGTTCATACAAGTCATATGGGGGGTGACTGGGGTAATATGATGAAAGCATTTCTTGTTTTTTCAAGTGGCAGATCACCATGGCTTAGTGATCAACAACAACTTATGTTTACATAGTGCCTTTAACATGGGGAGGTTGTTTCAAGCACTTCATAGCACTGACTGGGAACCTGAGCTTTGGATGATGGAAAGGTGGGTGGTAATGGCTGAAAGCATGGTTGTAACAATCAGTCTTGAAACTGGTCTTAAAGCAGGGAGGGAGAAGGCACGGTGAAGGACTCAGGGATGGAGTTCAGTGAATGGGGACAGAATGACTGAAAGTTGGACAGATGATGGGGCAGATCAATAACAACAACAAGATTCCATTTATAGAGCGCCTTTCACGTCGGGTGGACGTCCCAAGGCGCTGAAAGATCGGGTGGGACGTGAAGCAGGCCAGTGGTGGGTGATGGAAGGGAGCATCCAGAGCCTGGAATGATTTTTATTATAATCCTATGATACGTTGTTTATGTATGACTGGTATGCTTTAATGTTTGTGGGATAGTTGTGCAATTGCCAACTGTAACCTTATTTATGCAACACAGTGCTTAAGAAGCTTATTAACTGGATTATTTGCATGTTTTCCCTGGAAATGTTCGCATTCTGGAAATGAATGTGCATGAAAAGAAGCTTGACATCTTGGAAATGATGTAGAGGACAATGTATATGTGTAGTATTGACTAGCTAAATTTACATACCATTGAAATCGTCTGGGCACTGATAATTGTCTGTAAGAACTCTATCTAAGCTGTTAAGGAGAACACTAGGAAATGCCTAATGACTTGGCCTCATCATTGAAATGCTGTGGCATGTTAGCTGAATACTTATATTTTAATATTATACAACTGATATTGGAACCATCAGAATTGAAGCATGGCATCTTTGAGTTGGTTTTAATGCTTGTATCATTAAGTCGTCACTGTTTAAAAACAGTTAAAAATTGGGATTGTATTAACATTTACTTAGCAAAATTAACGTTTACTTGCAATACAAAACTAGTACGTACCCCTAAAATACAAAAGCTTCATTTGTATAGTTAAGCAACCATGGTCAACGAGTGAAGTAAGAGACAATATCAAGCTAAAAGAAAAGGCTTGCACAATTGCAAGGAAAAATGGAAATCCAGCTGACTAGGAGAGCTATAAAAAGCAACAAAGGGATACAAGGAAAGTAATAAGTGGTGCAAAAAAGGAATATGAGAAAAAAATTCCAAGGGATATCAAATCTAACAGTAAACATTTTTTATAAATATATTAAGAGTAAGAGTGGTAAAGGATAATGTGGGCGCATTAAAGACAGATGTAAGTGAGAACAGACAATAAGGAAATTGCAGACTTGTTAAATGAATCCTTTGCATCCGTTTTCACAATAGAGGACGAGGACAAAATGATAGCGGTACAAGGGAAACTAAAAATAAGTGGATTTATTATAAATTTTAAAAAAGTAATGGGGAAAATAATGGGACTTAAGATAAACAAATATCCAGGACCTGGTAGTTTCACCCTGGGAGGATGTTGCAGATGAGTTTGTCATAATTTTCCAAAACTCTATTTGGTAATCGTGCCCTTAGATTGGAAAATTGAGAATATCACTCCATTATTTAAGAAGGGAAGGAACTGCAGACCTGTCACCTTACATGACAGTCCGTGAACAAGTATGAGCTAATCAAAGAGTATGGATTTGTGAAGGTATTCATGTCTGACAAATCTAGTTGAATTTTTTGTGGAGGTCACTAACATGGTGGATAAAAGAATGTCTATGGATGTCGTCTAAATGGATTTTCAGGAGACATTTGATAAGGTTTTGTACCAGAGATTATTAGCAAAAATGAAATTGCATAGAATTGGAAGTAACCGTGTGACATGGCTTGGTAATTGGTTGGGATGCAGGAAACGGAGAGAGGGGTTAACGGGAACGTTCTCTGATTGGCAGGATGTGGCAAGTAGTGTTCTCCAGAGGTCTGTGTTGGGGCCTCAGCTTTTCACCAAACATATAAATTACTTGGATGAAAGAATATAGAGTTGTATATCCAGATTTGCAGATTAAACTAAGTTAGGAGGCACAGTAAATTGTGTAGCTGGGAGCAGGAAGTTACCAAGAGACATAGACCGATTAAATGAGTGGGCAAATCTGTGCCAGATGGAGTTCAATTTGGGGAAGTGTGATGTCATCCACTATGGATCCAAGAAAGACAAATTAGAATATTTTCTTTATCGTCAGAAACTAGGAACTGAAGGAGCAAAGGGATTTGGATGTCTCACATACACAAATCACTAAAAACTAGCTCACAGGTACAAAAATAATTAAAAAACCTAATGGATTTATCTCAATGGGGCTGGAATACAAAGGTGAAGAAATTATGGTTCAGTTGTACAGAGCCTTGGTCAGACCCCATCTGGAGTACAGTTAGTTCAGTTTTGGGCATAAGGTAAATGCAGAGAAACTTAATCTTGAAATTTGAGCTAGCTGATTTAGAAGTGAAATCAGGAAGCACTTTTTTTATACAAAGGGTAGGAAATCTGGAATTCTCCCCCAAAAGATTGTGGATGCTGGATCAATTCAAATTTTCAAGCTGAGGTTGATAGATTTTTGTTAGGTAAAACTATTAAGGGATATGGAGCAAAGGCGAGTAAATTGGGTTGAGGTACAGATCAGCCATGATCTAATAGAATAGTGGAACAGCTTAAGGGGCTAAATGGCTTTCGCTTGTTCTTATGTGAAATTACCGATTATGGCATGGCCTGAACCATAGTAGCTCAGTAAGACTCCCATCAAATATCATTAAATTGCAATAATGAACATTCCAGTGTGTTTTGTGTTTGGGTGGGAGTCGAAGATGATAAAAACATGAGCTTCAGCCAAGTGATGCAGCTAACTACATTGTTCCAGGGAATCTTGTGGTGAAATGTTAAATGAGTCATTTTAAGAATATAGCCTCATGCATGGTATCTTGACTAATAAGGTCACTAACTTTAGAAATGCAGAATATGTGTGAATATAATCTACCAGAATTGACTTATCCATTTGTCAAGTATATCACATGCATTTGTTTGACCTGGGTTTCATCCATCATGACAAAATCCCCGTTTTTAGGTGATTTTGTCTTTATAGGGCATGGCATATTCTGACTTATTAATAGGTCTGAATAAGATGGCCTGCAATCAGTCTTTAAGAAATTCTATGCTAACTACTTTTTTGAGAAATTTAACTTTTCACTAAGGAACATTTTAAGATGGCCTTTGTGATAAGAATTTTGCAATATTTTTGAATGCTAAGAGTTATTAATTATGGCACTAAATTTCTGAAAGCTTTTTCAATTTGTTAACCATACCATTTCATCTCTGACCCTGAGCCTTTATAGTTGGGAATTAATTGCAAATTTGCCTCAGCCACTTCAATAGAAATCAGTTTCTGACTAGTTCTATGGGGACAATTTTAAGAACCTATTATTGTAAAGAATTGTCTGTAATGATGTTTGTATTGTACTGAAGTTTCCTACTGGACCAGTAAAAAAATTGAAAATAGGGCAGGGAATAAGTGCTATTCAACCCATCAGAAGAACATAACATTAAAACATAATTATTGCGAGACGAAAGAAGACTAAGGTCCATCGAATTCGCCTTTCACCAATTCTATTACTCTCACAAGCCATGTGCATTCCATGAGCTCTACCTAATTCCCTCATGGGCTCCACCTAATTCATTTCATTTCCTGATTACTTCTTGTTAATAATAATTAGTAATTAATTATTCTTGTTAATAATAATTAATCTTATTAACAATAATCTTGTTGTTGTTTACTTCTATCTACTTATTCATAACTTTAAATCCTGTTCTTTCCCAGAGAATCTTGCAATATATTTTAAAAATTGGTGGTTGACAAATTGAAAAATATTCCAAAGAGCCATAGATTGTTGTGGAAGAAAATGTGTTAAATCAAGGTTGAAGTAGAATAATTGTTTTTTTAAAAGGAAACTGGACAAGTATTTGAAAAATAAAAATCTAGAAATCCATTGTGACATGGCAGGGAATATGACTGAAAGTATTGCTCTTTCAGAGCTGGCACAGGCTGAACATCTGCCTTCTGTGCTTAAAATTCAGTGATTCTTGCTTGAGGTTTCATTCCAATGTCTTGCAATTTTGAACCTAGATGTTGCTAAACAAATGTAATTTTGTTGTTAAATGACCTGGCTGTCTACATTATAAAATCCTTAGTATTTTGGAAACTTGTGTCTATTTTAATAGACTTGTGCCTGTTTCGTCACTGGTCAAAGTTTACGTTTGCAGAGGTGAATACAAAAGTACATTTAGTATGACCTGCAGTATTTCTAGCATTCAGACAGTGGTAAAATTGATAGCACAAATGTCTTGGCTGCATTGCTCAGCGTTGCCACAACAGTGGCCTAAGCATAGAAAGTATTCTAATTAATGTTATATAATGCATCTATCTGAACAGCAGTTTGCAACCTAATGGAAGTGAATGTATTGAATTACTAGTATAGGATGTCAGTTGTAGACTGCAGAGATAAATTATGAATGAATTATAACAAAGTAGTAGCAAGCTGTTTTAAAGTTTCATTTTGATCAAATGCCTTTGGTTTTAAATAACAAGTTTGATGTTGATGTGAAGGGAAGTATTGCAGTGACAAATATTACATCTTGAATGTTAAATACTTATTTTTGTGGTCAACCAATAATTTTAATAGATGTTCTTTAGTTTGAACTTCCATACCTAATTCCGGGATCCACCACATTTTGCGGAAGCACGCTTCAATAAAAGGAATGTAAAGAAATCATTAGAAACATCTGGTCTCCTTGTGGGGCTCATGCATCATCTGAGTCCAGTTGCCTACTGCTATTACAACATGGTTATTCTTGCATTGTTTTGGATTATTAATTGGAATTTGCTTTCTCCTCAGAATTTATTTAGTGATTAAAAACAGTTGACTTGTGATTAAGGGTGAAATGTGTACTGTGTAATTCTGGGCAGCTCAGTCAGACTTGGGGATTGTATGATTTGGGGCTATAATCGTTAATAGTACAATTTCAAAAATGTGCATTATACAAGTATTTTCTAGGGAGTAGGTAAATGGGTTCCCTGGGGCTGAAAGTGTCTACAAAACTGGACTGGTGTTAAAAATGCTCAAAAAGGAGCCAGTCACTTCTGATGGGACTAATTGATGGACAATGGGGAACCCTTAAAATGCTTCCAAGACATTTTTAATGGTTCTCCATTGCCCATCAATTAGTCCCATCAGAAATGACTGGCTCCTTTATAGGCTCCTGTGTTCCACCTGGGTATCATGGCTTTGGTTCAATCATATGCTAATTAGGATTGAGGAAAAGTGGGGGATTTTTTGGGCTGCAGCATGGACACATTCCATAAGTGTTATTACTGGTCATGGTTTACCTACAGTCTGGTCCTTTATTGGAGTAAAGGACCTCTATGGTTATCATTTCTCACCCTTAAAGTAGGTCACATAGACAATATTGCAAGTTAAACTAGGAGAAATGTCTTGTAATTATTTTTCTCTCTCATCTGGGTTAACTTTGCAAGATGCTTCCAATTTTAGAATGAAGACTTCACTTGATCAGGAGCAGTAACTAAAGTAGTAACGGAGTCTTCACAAAGAGAACATTATGAATCTCCTTTTTGTCTAATCCATATGCTTTTTTTAGGATGATGCTCGCCAATTGTTTGTCTTGGCTGGTGCAGCAGAAGAAGGGTTCATGACTGCAGAGCTTGCAGGAGTAATCAAGAGGCTGTGGAAAGACAGTGGTGTTCAGGCCTGCTTTAATAGATCCAGAGAGTATCAACTTAATGACTCAGCTGCATAGTAAGTATTGAATGCTGGATATTTAATGTTATAGGATTAGAAAAGAAAACTACTGCAGTATAAAACTAAATTCATGCTGGAATGGGTTTATCACAGGTGGTCATCTGCTGTGAACTTAACAATAATCCTTATATTTGGCATAGCGCCCTTTCACGTTCAGAGGACATTTTAAACTGCTTCACAGTAGACTACCCATTTGTAGGCAAACGTCACAGACCACTTGTACACAGGAATGTCCCACAACCACCTGTGAAATGAATGACCAATTTTGTTTGGTTTGGTGGCCAGGACACTGAAACTCCCTTCTAATTTTGAATAATGCTATGGGACCTTTAACATTTACCTGAGCACACAGACGGGATCTCGGTTTAATATCTTATCCAACGGATGGCACCTCCAACAATGAAACACACTCCAGCGCTGCATTACACAGTTTACTATGCCTTTTTTTGGTCAGTGACTTTACATGCGTAAACTCCCGATGTAGATCTTTTACTCGTCCTGTTGACCCAGAACTTGGGATCCAGAGCAATGAAGCATTCCTTAACTACTCCTCCCCAGATGTCATCTCGCTGTTAGGTTGTGTAACTGACCAATTTTGTACTGTGGTCTCCATCAACGCATTACCTTCCTGATTGCTAGAACTAGCTAATTTGTTCCATTCAGCATCCTTAGTTTACCATAGCTTTATTCAAAATCAATCATAAATACAGACAGTTGAACTAGCTCAAAAACGAAATACTACGACATTGTAAGGACTGTGGAAATTGTTCCTGAAAAGATTGTACATAAAGACTATATAGCTTGGTTTCACAAATGCATCTTCTTTTTTTAGTTATCTGAATGACTTAGACAGGATATCACAAGCAAGCTATGTTCCAACTCAGCAAGATGTTTTGAGAACCAGAATTAAAACTACAGGCATTGTGGAAACTCATTTCACATTTAAGGATCTACACTTTAAGTAAGTAATGTTTGTAAGTAACTGATTACGAGATTGGTCATTTCAATCCCATTTAATAAGATCCCAGGTAAATGGAGACTATTTTTATACCAGTACAATTTTAGTTTAAAAGATGGCTTGCTCAAAGTTCAGCACCTATCCATCTACCCCACCCCGAATGATAGGCATCAGAGAATATGCAGACTTTAAAACAGGAAAAATGCTATTTCTTTTCTTAATTTGTTTTCTTAGAATGTTTGATGTGGGTGGCCAGAGGTCTGAGCGCAAGAAATGGATCCACTGCTTTGAAGGAGTAACTGCTATCATATTCTGTGTGGCGCTCAGTGATTATGACCTGGTTCTTGCAGAGGATGAGGAAATGGTAAGTTGTTACTGTTTTGGCTCATTGAATACTTTTGCAAAAAATGTTTTGTACACAACTAAAATGAAATCACAGGCATGTATGCAAAGCAAACCTATTAAACCTATGTTTAAACTTGAATGTTTAAAACAAAGGGTAAAAAAAATCTTAATTTCTGGGTTGTTGGGTTGCCATTGATGTTACTTCCTGCCTGCAAGCTATGAATTGCATGCTAGCCACAAGAATTTTCAGCGTTGTTTCCTACGCATAGTAATCTGTGTTGTCAGTGTTGTTAAGCTAGGTCTTCTAACGTAGCTCAGATTTTCAGTGCATTTTTAAGTGAACCTGCAATAAATTGGGCTGCGTTTCAACAGGCTTACCCTGTACTAGTGTTGTGCCTGAATTATATANTTTTTTTGAACGTATACTTAAGTTTAAACGGGTTTTTAAAAAATGCATGAACCAAGTACAGCCGGACACCGGTTAACCATGGACACCAGGTCAAAACGGACGTAACAGCTGGCCCGATGTGTCCAGTTAAAGTGGCTGCCACTGTTTGCGAATTGTAACTTTTCTCACACTGTTGAGAGGCACCTGCATCTCCACTATGTAGTTTGTGAGGAAATTCAATCATTTTTGAGATGCTATTGTGTGCCTCGTAATTGGCTGTAACTAGTAGATGACAGTAAGCAGGAAGACCATCGTTAAGCTATGCAAACCACGGGTTCCGCAGATAGTAGAGCAGAACAGCATTATTAATTTATTTATTCTACAGGGCAAGTAGTTGTCATTACCTTGGCTCTTGCACAGCTCTAGCATAGTTAACTTTCTGATCTTTTCCTATGGATTAATTGGGCAAATTTAACTAGTAGCTTGAAGTTGTTTGGATAGCATGAAATTATTTAATGTTAAAGATTCACCAACTCTTCATTTGTAATAATATATTAGTGTGGCTGTACATAAATATGTGGATGCACATTTGCGGTGTTCCATGTTGCTCTGAGCTGACAGACTGTTATCAAACTGGTGCCTGCGCTATACATAATCTATTGCTGTTTTAATTGTAACCTTCCAGCACTTTGCTGTCTATCGAGTCTGTTGGTGATAATGTCATGTTGTAAATTTAATTTTTAAAATGCTTTTTTATAGAACCGAATGCATGAGAGTATGAAACTGTTCGACAGTATCTGTAACAACAAATGGTTTACAGATACATCCATCATTCTGTTCTTGAACAAAAAGGATCTCTTTGAAGAAAAGATTAAAAGGAGTCCGCTCACAATTTGCTTCCCTGAATATGCAGGTAAACAATATAAACTTTGAGCAGTGTGAAAATTTGCAAAACATTAACAACTGTTTGATTAAACTATGGATGATTTTTTGTTTAGTCCTTCTAACTTGGGGTGATTGCAGCCAGAGACGCGTCCCTTGCCTTTCATTTTCTTGTTCTTACCATGTTTTAAGACAAATTAATTGGCTCAAAACTGACCTATTAAGCGTTAAGTTAACAACGAGAGATCTGAACGCATCTGCACTGTGGCCCCGGGAAAGATTGTGCTCTATTCAAATGTATGTCAGTGGCATTCTGAGTTGAAATTATTTTGGGTTGAGATTTTTTGAATATTAAATTGATGATGTTGAATAACGTAGTTTTCTATTAGCAATTTCTGCCCAAAATTGTTGCCTGTTTTTCTGCAACAGCATTAATTGTTCAGACTATGGTTACAGTATGTGGAATGGTTGCATTAGGTTTAGTTATGACAATACAAAATTACATCATATCCTCATTCAAGGTGTGATTTCCTAATATGAATTTGCGGCTGCACATAAGATCAATCTAAATTGCTTTATAAACATTCTTTCCATTCCACCTAACGAGACGCATTTGAGTTTCTCCAGAGTTTTTATTCCTTAGATTACTCATTTATTGTAGATCCAATTCCTAAACTTAAAACTAGAGTAATCCCAGTATATCAAGTCATCACTTGAGTAGTGGTTCCATAACGAAGGGATGACTTTCATATTTCTAATGGAGGGCATAATATTTTGGAAAAATTTTTGTGTTGTGGCCAAAGCAGTTGATTTTTGCCACATGTTGAATGTTAATTTGCATTTTGGGCAACTGCTAAGATGCATTCTACTTGAAGAATTGGATTAAACGACAAATATTTAATGTCATTGATTTAACGTTTAAAGAGAATGTTGAGGAATTGTATTCCTTGGTATCCTCTAAATAGCAGTAAATGCAATTGCACTTCAAACATACTTCTAGGTCTTTGAATTTGTTGCATGTATGACTGAAATATTTCATAGAAAGTCACTATTCTAGCATTATTAAAAATTTACTTAAACTGGAGTATTATTGTATAATTGTATTGGGGAAAAATAAGGGGATTTTCAAAATCTATTAACTTCATAATTAATTCAAGCTGAATTAATCCTTTCAGCATTGTAAATGACGTGGTTTTCCATTTTATTTTAATGGCAAGGCTTTGTGTAGAATTCAAAACCTTCTGGAAAGAGTGATTGATTTGTGAGTTATTTTAAGAAATGCTTTTCTCGGGGCCTTTAGATGCAGAAATGTGTTGTCTTTTCTTTTGGATGAGCTCTCGGCTTTCCTGAGGTTTTGGGCAACGTCTAGTGGCTAGAAGTGAGTCACAGAATGCGACTTCTAAAATGCTGTGAAAATACAAGGGAGCATGTAGAATACCATACTTCCAATATAGCATTCTTCCCAAGAGTATAGTCATCTTTGGATGATCTGTTCATTTTATGTGTACGTTCAGATGCATTTAAAAAATAGGACGAGCACTAAAGATTAATTATATAACATGATTGGTCATCCATAATTCTGTGAAGTGTTCTGTTGCATTATATAGAGCTGACAAAATGTAGAACAAATATCTTCTGCATTTTTAACGTATTTGCAGTCTTCAAACAATGGAGCCTAAAGTGTAATTGAGTTAATCCTTTGTGGAAATAGTTCCATTAGTACATCATTGACTATTGAGTTGAATTTTGATTTATAGGATCAAACACATATGAAGAGGCTGCAGCCTACATACAGTGTCAGTTTGAGGATCTGAATAAACGAAAGGACACCAAGGAAATCTACACTCACTTCACATGTGCCACCGACACCAAGAATGTGCAGTTTGTGTTCGATGCAGTTACTGATGTCATCATAAAGAATAACTTAAAAGACTGTGGTTTGTTCTAAAGCTGTTGAAACAAGCGGTAAGTTGCATTACATTTTATAAGCTCATTGCAATAATAAGCAGTCAAATAGGATTTGCAGCCAATTCCTTGGCAGTCCCACTTTATTAAAAGCATTATCTAACAGACTGTCAGAGGATGCTTGCCAAGTGTTTCAGACCATCTACTGTTAAACTGCTGATTGAAGCAGTTTTTTTACACTTGCATCAGGAGAAGATGGAGACCACCTGCACCAGCATTTTGAGTTTCAGGCTGTATCCTCGCTAGCGTTCAGTTCCATCCCTTGTCCACGTAAATTTCTTTCTTTGTTGGTGTGCTACTCATCTTCACACTATTGAGTGGATGAGAAGAAAAACAGTGGAAATATATGAATTTGGAACGAAAAGTGAAGTGTGGGAGGCGAATCAGTCAGAATGGAATTGGTCCTGGAATTGAGGGTGGAGGTAGAGAGATATATTTTGGTGTCACCTGCACCCATGTGGAAGTTAACTCCATGCCTGTGGATGATATTTCTGAGTGGAAGTATTTAAATGACAAAGGCATTAAATCTATTTTAAATCTTGGCTCATTTTCTTTGCAGATTGAAGGAGAACATCTAAGCAGACATAAAGCCGTCTGCTTTGGAGCTAAATACTAAGCAGCATACGCTGATGGATGGACCAGTACTGTACAATTTACTAGTTTTAACAGCTATATTTATGTTCTTGTAAATTTTTTAAAGTAATTAGAGTAGTCCACATTCAGAATTGTCTAATTTGTACGTATGCCTATATTTGTACCAACGTTTATTGTAAAGCTTTTTTAAAGTTTTTTTTCCTCTAAGGGCTCTTAAGTCAGACTTCCTTTCAGGAGGAGAATATTTGAGTTCTTAAAGTACATAAATTCCTTTTTCGTTTGTTTCTGCATGTCTTTCTAATTATGTAAAATACTTTGCTTGGCAGCATGAAGCATGGATTCTTTAAGCTAGCTGTTTTAATGTGCCCACCTTATTTGTTTTCATACAGTAATTGGGTGCAGCGCTGGTATTCACCTCTCCATTTGAGGACACATTTTACCATGTCCATTGTTGCTTTCACAGCAGATTGAATACTAGTTGTCTGTTCTTGTGTATTGCCTTAAAGGTAATGCTCAAATTTTATAACTTTTAAACTGAAGCAAATTGAATTTTGTTTGTAAATAAGAATTAAAATTTGTATGTCTTTTGAAAGTATTGTTCTTAACAGTTGGAAGATGATTTTGAACCAATATATCACTGAATATATGTAATGAAATGTTTGAAAACCAGTTTACGCTCCACCACAGAAATGTGACTTAATGGAAATCCACTTGATTCAAAGGATATCCTTTCTGTGTAGGAGCTTACAAGATGAGAATTCTGGTTAGTGATACTAGAAGAGATAACTTGAGTTTATGTTGGTAAGGAAAAAAAGTATGTTTTTTGTGTATTTTTTAAAAGCTGTTCTTTGATTATGTAAATTTTAAATTGGAAGGGCAGACCAGTCACTGGGGGCCTGTTAACCCTACAAACCAAAGCCCTAATGGGTAGGGTAGCCCTAGCCTGGAGAAGCAGTGTGAAAGCTTGGCAGACAGTAATATCAATGGCAATAGTGATATCAATTGTGGTTTTAGCTGGTTCGACTCCAGCAGTACTCTAGGATCGCCAAGTCTTGACTCTTGCCAACTTGCGCCTGATATTTTCTGGAATTAGATAAGCAGGATGTGTCCCTCCAGTGAGAGATTGTGCATTCCTTTTCAAGTTATCTCTGGAATTTCCATGTGATGTGGGATGCATGAAATTCTCCGTTTGGTTACTCTTAAGTATGGTGATCTGGGATTCCACATGTGTCAGACATTTGGCTGACCCCCCCCAGAAATATAAATAAATAATTTTTCAATCACAAAAATTACAATCCACTTTGGTTGCTTCCTGCTATACAGGATAGCAGTTCATAGATTGTTACCAAAAGTTCTACATTAGTGTTAGAATTCAAATCTTTTAATCTTGTTTCTGTTCATTGGTTTCTGAATGGTCTTAAATGTCAAACTTTTTGACTGTTAAAAGTTGTTTTATTTTGAAAACTTACCACCTTTTTTGTGTAAGTGGATTCCTGTACTCCTATGTTGTGATATAAAAAAATGTATCCATGAGATATTTCAGTAAAAGTTGCCATTTAGTGAATTGTCTTCATGTACTAGTTTCTGAAAGTTCTTCACAATGTAAATTTGAGCCTTTTTTCTTTATGGATGTTACAATCATTTGACCAACTTTGCAGTCATTCATTTTGGGTAGATTATGAGTGCTATGTAAACTAAGTTTGAAATGAGTACATGTATACCATCTCTGACAAGCAGGCAGGGCCACAATCATTGTATTAATTTTTATATTTAATATAAAGCTACATAGTCCATAGGTTCTCAGGCAGTTGCAGACCAACAATGGGCCTAAGGAGAATTTGCAAATTCCTGGGGTTAAGTTTATGCATTTCAGTGACATTGGCCAAGCATATTGGTTATTTGTATGAACTATATAGTTAATTTATGCAAGAATTTTTTTGATTTGTCCAACCAATATAATTAAGAAAAATAGTACAACCTATACTAGGAGAAAATGGTGCTCGTGTTGCAGAAGATGTCATATAAAGAATGAAAAACTACAACCTGTTTTGTAAGATTTACTTGCTTTTAAATGCTCACTTCACAAAAGAGGTGATTAGGACACAGAAAACCAACAATTCACCAGGTTTATTTATAATCTATTCCAAATAGATAGTGGAGTCCTGTAGCTGAGTGATTAGAGCACTCGCCTTGCAAGCGAGACACCTGGGTTCAATTCCAGGCAGGCCGAAACCTTGGGCAAGTTTCTTTACTCCACACAGAGCCTATTAATAATCCCTCCAAATAAATAAATAAATAATTGGCCATTTTCAATCCATGACTGTTTGTGGGACACTGCTGTGCGCAATTGACTGCCTGTTTCTCCCACAAATATACAATCAATTCACTTTACAGTATATTCTGTGAAGCGCATTGAGACGTCTAGAAGATGTAAAAAGCGCGATATCAAATGCAAGGATTATTATTATTAAAAACTTGATGTGCCTTGCTGGTGTGAAGTTTTTACGTCAACCAGGACATTCTTTGTTAAACATTTTCTGATTGAGGAAAGGGTGGGTTCCACAGTTTATTTGGTTATACTTAATATAAAGAAAACAACCTGGTAGAAGTTAAACATGGGACCACCTTTTGTCATTCGTGAAAATGTAAAAGGTTCTTAGAAAACTACTGACTACAATATTGGTGTTCATTACTACTGCATTTTTTAACTTGGTCTGTACCATCGTGGATGTCAGTGAGCTTAATAAAATTATGTAACATTTTAATGTCTAAAACCTTTGTGAAACCTTTCCCTTTTGTACATATTACGTAAATCTTTCCTTGTTGATATGGTTCTGAATCAGCCGTGTTGAGGAATGATGTACTGTAGTTCCTTTCATAATTTGTTCCCGAGGTAAACTGGTGTATGTATTTTGGGAAATAAGCACTAAATTAGCTTTTTAGGGACTTGTACTTCAAGAAGGCACAAGAGTTTGGCAGGTGGACTAACTAATTATCGATTTGATTTAGTTTACAGGTGCAAACCTTTGTGTACTTTGTGCTTGAGTTAAGTTCTCACTTGATTTCACTGTCAAAAGTCAGGAAGGTCACAAATGGAAGGTGGATCACTCTCGAACCTGCAGTTGACCTGAGAATTGTCGATGGTCGAATAACTTACTTCTGGTGATTTAAACATGCTGTGTTCTAAAATGACAGTTCTACATTTATCAAACTATACATATCAATCTTTAAACCAGTCATGCAACTGGGGAATATTTAAGTGATGCTGGTATTCACTTAGGGCTGCATTTTCACACTGTGCTGGTGCCTCAGTCTGCCTGCCTACAGGTGTACAATGCAGACTTCATTAATTTTAAGAGCTGTGTATATGACAAACTTGGTCGTAATATCTGTGCGTGCAGAGATCAAAGGCCTATTATGAAGGAAGTTCTCCCTTGAGGCATGGTGAACTTTAAGAACAGATGATTCAGTTGATATTACACTAGTCTTTTGTCTTGAATGAAAGCAGACCAAAGTACTCCTAAGAAAATGCACCACCATTAAAGCCAGTTCCATTTTGGGAATGTGTGCTGAATCATTGGCACCCGTCTGTCTTCCCCTGAGCGGGCTTGGAGGAGATGGAACGTCAGTTTGCTATGCAATGCTGCTTACTGTCTCTGGCCATACAGTATGTATTTCTGTCAATCTTGGGTTTTGTGCAACAAACATTTGGATTTATCAGTATGGTCAGTCTACAGTATTCACATCAATAATCCTTGCACTTAACATAGTGTCTTATCACGTTGTTAATGTCTCAAAAGGTATCATAGGTTTTACTGTAAAGTGTGATGACTCAGCGAATATAACTATAGAAATTTACAGCAAAGAAGGATCCTGCTCATTGTGCCTGTGCGGACTCTTAACCGCAATCCTTTTGTCCCCATTTACCCTCTCTTTGCCTGTACCCCTAAAGTTTACTCCGAATGAAGCAGCCAATTTGAACACAGTGATGGTGACCAATTTTATCCAGGGGATTGTTGGGTACAACACTGGGAGAAATTCTCTTCTCTTTTCGAATAGTGCAATGAAATCTCTAACATCCACTCAAAAGGTCAGACGGTACCTCGGTTTAACGCCATCATTTGATGGGTGGTACCTCTGATAGTGCAACACTCCCCAGCTTTGCACTGAAGTGTCAGCCTGGACTAGGAACTCAAAAGTGTCAAGAGTGGAGCTTAAACCCACAACCATCTTGGCTCTTGCCAACCTGCGCCTAATACTTTACCGAATTAGTCAAGCAGGATGTGTCCTTCCAGGGAGAGAGTGTGCGTTCCATTCCAACAATCTATCTCTGGGATCTCCCACGTGTAGGTGGGATGTGTGGAAATATCAGCTTGGTTTGGATACTCTTGAGCATGGTGATGGGTTTCTGCATGTGGCAGTCACCCAGTTGACCCCCAAAAATGAGCTCAAAAGTATCAAGAGTAGAGCTTGAATCCACAATCCTCTGACTCGAAAGCAAGGATGTTACCAACTGAATCAGACTGACACATAGATTACTTGACCCTCATTTAACTTTTAAAGCTACAGGGTAATTCTAAGTGTTTTTATTCTATACTATGTGTACCCGTTGCAGCTACTCTTGCAACCAGTTTCATTTAATCGGCCTTCTCTTTCATCCAGCATTTTTATTTGTTCTTGAAAGGCTTGATCTTCGCTTCTTAGGCATCTTTATCCCTTAAGATTAAGAAACTGTGCTATTGAACTCGTTAGTATCCCTGTTCACATATTTGCAGATATATCCTTTTGGGAGGACTCCCTAGTCGGAGGCCTTGGTTAGACAGACACACAGACAGACATTTTGTCTTTATTAGTATAGATGTATCTGTATAGAAGGGTGTAGGACCACTGTCGCTACTTTGTTGCAGAATACCATGCATAACCTTTTGGGGGCTCTATTAAAGCATTTTTTAATATATATTTTAATATAGCTCATCAACGATAGGAGATCCCTGAAAAAAAACATGCCCATTACACTCGTACGTGCAAGACCTTTCCGATGAGGTATAAATCATGTCTCCAGGTCAATCGGTTATTGAGTTCTTGGCAGACAAACTGACATTTTGTCTTTGTTAGCATGGATATAGAAGATGTATTCATTGGATTGTCAGAGGCACACATGCAGTCTACCTGGGAAACAATTGAAACTTTTCTATTAAAGCTGGTTGCTGAGCCTGCTCTTCTTGTACTGTCCTGTGAGACTTTCAGCAGCTTTGCTTCCTGTGGGTAAAGGTGGGTAATGATTTTCTTAATGAGACGAAATGTTGAATTATAGCAGGTAATCCGGAGAGAATTTACCAATTTTCCCAGAGGTCCAAGCAATGTTAAGAAGCACGCAATCGTATTCTGATCTCATTAGCCTTCACTGTTTAACCTTTCTTATGCAACAAATTACTTTTGTATAAAAATTCTGAAGCCACTGTAGCATTTTTGCTTTAAATTTTATCACCTGAGAGAACACTTTATATCAGGTAAAATGCTAAAAGGTTCAACACATTTTAACCTCAATAATTGAGGTTATAATCGACTGATCCTCCAACACAATGCCGGGGGTAGCATTGAATTGTTGGAGATGCCTTTCTTTGGATGAGACATTAACTAAGGTCCCACCTGCCTGTTCGGGTGGGCTGTGGCAATATTTGAAAAGAGAAGGGAGTTTCTCCTGGTGTCCTTACAAACAATCCCTTAGATAATATTGGCATGAAGTTCATTTCAAACTTAGGTGAGTGATGATATAGAGTTCAGCAAAGTGCTGGAATGATGAGTTTTGGTGGGGGAGGGGTTGAAGAAAACAAATAGCTTTTCCATAGTTTTAAATTAATTACCTGTATTAGATTTGTCTAATATGTTGATAAACATAACCATGTATAATTAACATGTTTCTGATCCTATTTGCATATATAACTAGGAAAAAGGGAGCATTTCTTTCTGACCTAGCCAACAATCCTGATTAATTTAGTCATTCATTGCTTGGCTTTTTTTGAGATACTAATTAGTTTTCCCAAACAAACAATCCCTACAAATTTGTCAAGAATTAAGCATTTTGTCACATTTTAAACTATTAGGGTGCTAAAACAAAATAAAAGTTTTCTTCTGTATGTTAGATCTAATTAGGATACATTGACTAAACAACAACAACAACTTCATGCAGGGTAGCATCCCAAAGTGCTTGACATTGGCAGAGTCTGGCAACAAGCCAGAGGGAGCGGGGAGGTGACAGTAAGCATGATCAAATAGAAAGGTCTTTAGGTGGGATTTGAAGGTGGGGAGGGAGGGGGCAAGGTAGAGGGATTGAGGGAAAGAGTTCCAGAGTTTCGGAGTTTAGTGGCTGAAGGCACGACCACTGAAGGTGGAGGGAACAAGGTACAGGAGGCTGGAGCTGGCTGAGTGGAGGCAGCGGGTGGTGGATTGGGAGTAAGCAGGTTGGATAGCTTGGGAGGTGCGACACATGAAGGGATTTGAAAATGAATGAGAGGATCTTTAAATCGATCAGTTTGGTAATTGGGAGCCAGTGGAGCCTGACAAAGAGTATAAGTAACAACAACAGCAATAAAACTACATTTGTCTAGTGCCTATCGCATCAGGAGGACGTCCAAAGGCCCTGGACAATCAGTGTTTTGGACCCGAGCTGGGGATCAGGATCGGGGAGGGTGGAGGGCAGGGGGGGAACAACAACAACAAAATTACATTTGTATAGCGCTTTTCACATCAAGAGGACATCCCAAGGCGCAGGACAGACAGAGTTACGGACCCGAGCTGGGGATTGGGATCAGGGAAGGTGGAGGGCAGAGGGGGAAGCAGGGAGATCGAAAGCATGGTCGAAGAAGTGAGTCTTGAGGTGGATCTTGAAGGTGGCGAGAGAGGGGGCGAGATGGAGAGACTACGGGATGGAGTTCCAGAGGGTGGGCGCAGAGTGGTGGAAGGCCCACTCGCCGATAGTGGGGCGAGTAAGGAGGGGGATGTGAAGCAGGCCAGAGCCCGCTGAGCGGAGGGAGGGAGCGAACAGGATGGTAGGGGGTTAGGAGGTTGGAGAGGTAGTGGGGAGCAAGACCATGGAGGGCTTTGAAGGTGAGAACCAGGATCTTGAACTGTATCCTCTGTGTGATGGGAAGGAGGGTGATCGAAGGCATGGTCGAAGAGGAGGGTCTTGAAGAAGGCAAGGAAGGGGCCGAGGTGGAGGAACTGCAAGGTGAAGTTCCAGAGGGTGGAGGCAGAGTGCCTGAAGGCCTGCCCGCCAATGGTGGGGCGAGCGAGGCAGGGAACATGAATTGAAGAAGAGTGGACCAAGGACAGAGCCCTGAGGAACACCGCACAAGATGGTTCGAGGGCTAGAGGAGAAACCAATTGTGGAGATGAAGTGGAGATGGTGTGAGAGGTACGATCTGAACCATTCGGGGACAGAACCATGAAAGTTGAGGTGAGAGGAGATGCGGTGGAGGAGAATAGAGTGGTCATCCATATCGAAGGCAGCAGAGAGGTCTATTTCCTGAAGCTCAAATAGCGTAAATGGGTTACACAAATAAAAACACTGTAATGTGGTATTGTTACAGTATTGAAGTAGTGCTATGACAATTACTTCCTAAATCCATTATTATGGACTAGAACATGAATGCACCATTGTTTGTAACACCACATGATTGCTCTCGAAGACTGGTATGAACTCTTGCATTCAAATATTTCTGTACTTTCTGTGCAATCAGTAGAGGAACATAGATGTGATAGA